ACCCTTGTTGGAAACCAACTGACCACTTTTAAGTGTTCATTTCTGGACTTAGCATTCTGTTCTCTCGGTAGGTTTGTCTATCCTAATGGCAGCGCCACACTCTCTTGATTACTCTAGTTTTGTATTAAACTTTGAAGTAGGGAAATGCAAGTTGTCCCACTTTATTCTTTTTCAAGATTATTTTGCGTGTTTCCTGTCCTTTGACCTGTCAGAATGGCTAGAACCCGAAAGACAAGAAATAACAGGTATTGGTGAGGATGTCCATATCAATTTTAGGAGGAGTTTTTCAATTTCTGCAAAACTGCAGCAAGAATTTTGATAGCATTGCATTGATTCTAGAGCACTGACATATTAACAGTCTGATCCATAAACATGGGATGTCTTTCTGTCTGTTTGGATCTTTATTTTAACAGTGTTTTGTAGCTTTCATTGTGCACGTTTTATACTTCTTTTGTTCAGTTTATTACTAAGGCTTTTTCTTCTTCTTTTGATGCTATTGTAGATAGATTTTCAACTTCCAGTTCATTCACAGGATTAACTGTTCATAGACATACAATTGATTTTTCTATACTGATCTTGTGCCCTGCAATCTCACTGAATATCTTTATTAGCTCTAATAGTTTTTTAGTGGATTCTTAGAAGTTTCTATATGTGAGATTATGTCATTTACAAAGAGAGATAGTTTTACTTCTTCTTTGCTAATCTGGATGCCTTTTATTTCTTTTTCTTGGGCTGCTTGTCCTGGCTAGAATTTCCAGGACAATGTTAACTAGAAGTCTTGGTCCTGATCACAGGGGGAAATCGTTCATTCCTTCTTCATTAAGCATGATGTGAACTATGGATAGTTCCTCGGTGTTCTTTATTATATTGAGGAAATTCTCTTCTGTTCCTTGTCTGAGGGGTGTATGTGTGTTTTCAGGAAAGTATGTTGGCTATTGCCAGATTTCCTTTTTTGAGTCTTGAGGCAATCATACAGTGTGTTCCTTATTCTGTTAATATGGCTTATTATGTAGATTGATTTTCAGATATTAAACCCTGTACTTCTAGGATAAACTCCACTTGGTTGTGGTGTATAAACTTTTAATATGCTGTTAGATTTGGTTTGCTAGGATTTTGTTGAGGATTTTTGTGTCGGTTTTCATAAAAGATATTGGTCTACAGGGTTTTTTTGTGGTGCCTTTGTCTGGTTTTGGTGTCAGGGTAATGCTAGCATCATAGAATGAACTGGGGAATTTCTTTTTTCTTCTGTATCTTGGAAGAGTTCATGAAGGAGTGGTGTTAATTTTTCTTTAAACATTTGGTAGAACTCACCATCAAAGCCATCTAGGATTGGGCTATTATTTGGGGGAAGTTTTAAATCACTCATTTAATCTCTTTACTTATTATAAGTCTATTCCAGTTTTCTGTATCTTATTAAATCAGTTTTGGTAGTCTGTGTTTTTCTAGAAAATTGTCCATTTCCAGCACTCTGTTTTTTTCATGTGAATTTGAATTATTTTTTGGCATCACTTGCTTTCAGCCTGAATAATTTCCTTTAGTATTTTCCTACAGGGCAGTCTGCTAGCCATGAATTCTCCTGTTTTTGTTTGTGTGGGAATATTTTTATTTCACCTTCATTGTTGAGTGATAGTTTTATTGGTTATCCTTGGTTAATGCCACTGCCCTGACCTCCATTATTTCTGAGTAAATGTCAGCTCTTGATTTTATTGGGCTTTCCTTATATATGATGAGCCATTTTCCTCTTGCTGCTTTTGGCATTTTCTTTGTCTTTCACCAGCTTAAATATCATGTATAGCTCTCTTTGCATTTATTCTACTTGGAGTTTGTTAAATTTCTTGGGTGTATAGGTTAATTTTTTTTTACCCCATCAAATTTTAGAAATTTTCAGCCATCATGTCTCTGAATATTTTCTGCTCCTTTTTGTCTCCTCTCCTTCTAACACCTCAGTGACCCCCCCCACCATATTTCTCAGAGGTCTGTTTATTTTTATTTGTTCTTTTTTCTCCCCACTCTTCAGACTGCAGAATTGCTACTGATCTGTATTCAAGTTCATGGGCTCTGTCTTCTCTCAGCTCAGATCTACTTCTGAGCCCTTGGTGAATTTACCACTTCAGTTTTTGACCTTTCAACTCCAGAATTTCTGTTTACATTTTTTGTAGTAGTTTCTGCCTCTTTCATGATGTTCTCTCTTTGGTGAGACATCGTCCCTTCCTCACCTTCAGTTTTTTAGACATGGTTCCCTTTTGTTCTTGGAGCTGTTTTGAAATCTGCCTGACAAGTCCAACATCTGGACCTCCTCAAAGGTAGTTTCCGTCACCTGCTTACTTTCCCATGTGTGGCTCACAGTCTCCTGTTTCTTTTCATGTCTCAGAAATTTTGGTGGAACTGGACATTGTAGATAATATATTGAAGAGACTCTGGATGTTGATGATGCCTAGGACCTTGTTGTGCTGTTGTTTGCTTATTTGTCTAGTGACTCGGCTGTACTGTTTCCATAAACTTTGTTTGCCCTGCAGTGTGCAGCCACTGATACTGCCCCCAACCCAGCGGCCACAGCCTTGGGCCTATGCGTTGTCTCCCTGACCAGACAGGCCCCCACTCCCACCCCCAGACAGTGGTATTCACCAGGTTCTCTCTGTCTCCTTCTCTGATTTTCCTGGTAAGCCTCTGGCTATTCTGTCTCTACAGGTGTCACCCAGTTAGCTTTCACTAGCAGCCAACTGGTTTCCATGTGGTTTTGAGCATGCTCTCAAGTACAACTTATCCACAGTATGACCCAGTGAAATTCTGAGCCTTTCACAGAAGCAGGATGTTGCCAGTCTTTGAGCCTTGCTCAGACCCCAGGAGGGCCCTTAGCTCTCTTTCCTTGGTTCTTTCTATTACGCTGTTTGTTGTTTTACCATTTTACTTACTGCTGCTAGCATCTTGGGACTTCTGGCCTCCTCTTAGTTGCTCAACTCACTACTAAGATTTCTGTTGTTTTAGACAATGCCTGTAGGTATGAGCTTGCACATGCTGCTCCAAATAAGGTTGGTCCTTTTAGGGAGAACTGTGGAACTGGCCATTCTGCCTCTCCCTCTGAGAAGACCACTGCACTTGAATGAGGGGCAAAGTGGCCCACTTCTCCCAGAGTGACAGCTTGGCCTACGAGTGCATGACTGGATGGCAGCCCCTACTCGTCTTGGCTTTTTCTTTTCAGAATGAGGCCTCTGCCCTAGAAGCAAGCTGGGAAAGAGGCTGTCAGGGTCCAGTATTCTTGGCCTGACATCTCTGGGATAGAGTCTTCACCCAGCAGTGGGAGCCCCAGTCCTCTTGGCCTCTACTTCCTGGAGTTGACTTTCTGCAACACAGAATTATGTATTGGGAGGTGCCAGTTGGCATGCCTTTCCCAGGGTCAAACCATAGCCCCAGACTGGCAGCAGGAAGGATAGATAGTTCCGTCTTCTAGGCCGTAAAGCTTCTGGACCCATGAGTTGGGGAAGGTATGGGCAGCAGTTGTGGCCAAATGCCACAGACTTCCGCTGTTCTTACCAAGATTTCATAGATATGTTCTTGAATACATGTTTCTCCCTTTGTTGTATGGACTTCAGGACAACTTCCAGATACTTTAAGTGGTTGTTATTTTTAAAAATAATGCTCACCAGTTAAACAATTATCTTACTGAGGAGGGAGTTCATTGACCTCCTTATAGGTCCCCTGTAGACGTTTCCACTTGCTGCCTGTTTTCATAAATCAGGTTGTTGTTTTTTTTTAAGATTTTTTATTTATTTATTTGACAGACAGAGGTCGCAAGTAGGCAAAGAGGCAGGCAGAGAGAAAGGAGGAAGCAGGCTCCCTGCTGAGCAAAGAGCCCGATGCGGGACTCAATCCCAGGACCCTGGGATCATGACCTGAGCTGAAGTCAGAGGCTTTAACCCGCTGAGCCACTCAGGTGCCCCCATAAATCAGGTTTTATTGGGACACAGTCCTATCCATTCACTGATGTGTTGTCCATAGCTGAGTTCATGCCCTGGGGGCAGAGCTGAGAGTTACAACTGAGATCACATAGCCAAAATAGCCACCGGTCCTTACAGAGATATTTTGCCGAGAAATGGCGGCATTATTTTTCTATTTTCTTTGTGGAAGACAGACCTGCAAAATGAAATCCTGAAACCAGACAGCAGCCAGGGCACCTGGAGTCCATCCGCCTCCTGCGTTCGTACCCGCGGCTCAGAGGTCAGATGAAGAAGGGATGGACAAGTAGTATGCCATTGGAACTGCAGGAGAAGTTGTGGCAGTCAGATCATTTGAAAAACATCCTTGTTATCTGCTTTTGGTTGTATGTCGTATTGGTCCATTGTTAAATTTTTAACTTTCTGTGATATCTTTTCTTGTTCTATATCAGTATTCCATTTTAGATCTGATGCAGTATTTTTACATGTTGTAATCATCTTCCTAAAGTGGCCCTAAGTTGTGTAAGCATCCTCCCTGTGGGAGGCCGGGGAGCAGTGTGACCATATTCGAGCTGTAGGTCTGTGTTCCCTGAGTGCTGGTGTTCTGCTCACTGCATTCATGAATATTTACTGTGTCAGCTTGTCACCCGACCTCCATTTCCATTGTACGTCCTTTAAACATAAGCAGGTAGGTTCTGTACGTCTCTGGAGTCACTGGCCTGACCTGCTGGTTGTTTCTTTGTGAATTGCCCTCTGTGGGCATGCCTTTGGCTTCACCCAGAGACACGGTGTGGGGTGTGGGACAGGCTCGGGCTGAGAGGACAGAGCGGGCTCGACAAGACATGGAGGACTGTAGGCGGCCGGGGTGGCAGTTGGGGGAGGGGAGCAGGGCAGGCCAGCATCTTGCCAGGACTCCTGACAGGGCTCTGAACTTCTAGAGGGTGTGGGGTCCGCTCTTCCCGTGCCTCCAGGGCCAAGCAGACATCAAGGGAATAGCAGACTGAAGAGTATGGGGCATCCAAGTGGCCCTGGAACAGTGGGTCATAGGAGTGACCTTCTGTCTTGCAGCACTGCTTTAAAGGACACTGCATCTGGCTGACCCCTGACATCCTCAAACGGGATGGCAACTGGGGCGCCTGGAGTCCGTTCGGCTCCTGCTCGCGCACCTGCGGCACAGGCGTGAAGTTCAGGACCCGCCAGTGTGACAACCCACAGTGAGTCCGCCCCACTGTTTCCTACCCTCCTGTGTGGTAGCTGAGGTCCCCGAGGCCCCTTGCCAGCCGGCCCTATCCTACAAGGCCGCCATGCCTGTCCATGACTTCTGGAGAGGGTATGAAGGCCGGTAGCTCAGGCTTCTCATCACCATCCCTGGGAGCAAGCAGAGACTCAGAGAGGGGAGGATCTTGCCTCAGATCACACAGCCTGCTGGGGCAGAGCCAGCCCTGGACGCGGGCAACCTTGTCTCCTAGGCCGCTGGCCTGGGGCCATTCCCCGCAACCTGGCCCACACCCTGCTCTAGATACTGACTTACTCAGCCCTTCTTAGTCAAGGACATGGAAGACAGAAGTTGTAGCAGCAATGGGGATAAGGCAGAGGGATCTCTTGGGCTCCCAGATGCCAGGCAAGAAGAAGGGTCAGCAACATGCCATCCTGGGCATGTATGATAGGGTTTGCCTAGGGAGGGTGCCCCCGTGCCTGCCAGGCTTCCACCCCCAGCTGTGCTCCTCCTCCTGCCTCCTATGCAAACCCCAAATTCTGTGCTCTATTGTCCTCCCTTAGGTTCCTTTAATGTCCCTCCATGGCAGCACACTCTGTGAATATCTCTCAGGTCTGGGCCCTGCCAGTCCTGCACCATGCCTCCCCCAGTGCACTGCCCGGGGAAAGGGAGAGTGCACAAGGAGGGCACACAGGTCTGTGTGTGTCTCCTGGGCCCCTGCAGCGCTTTGTGACACAGGGTGCCTAAGTGAGCCCCACGGGCCCCAGGCAGCCTACTTCATGGATTGATTGTGGGTGCACGTACTGTCATGTAAACGGGACCCCCCACAGATGACCACTCGCTCTGGTCTTCCACCTACTCTAGGGAGGCCCCACAGCTGCCGGAAGACATATGGCTTTGTCTTTCTTTGGCTTGTTTGGTGTTTTAAAGATCCTGGTTTACAGGAAAATACAAAAGTATCTGAAATTTCACATGACAAAAAAAAGAGAGAATCTTATTTCCAGCTTCCAGATTGGGCATCCCTGCAACACCAGGCCCAAATACAGTCTGATGGGCGATGAACGACTCAGACCAGCCCCTTCATGGGGCAGCCCGACCCAGCCATCTTCATTCACCTGCTCCATCCACCTGGACCCCCTCGATATTTGGGTTGGGGCCCTAAGCCCTAAGCCTGAGTCCTAGGTTCATCACCCTGCCCTGGATCATACCACAGCCTTGCAGGATTGGGTATGACATTATGTTCGTGTGTGTTTTTCTCGGAGAGCAGGGCTCTAGTTTCATATCAACTTCTCAAAGGAGCCCGTGACCCCAAAATTTAAGCCCTCAGGTACACGGGTCCTCAGGCCCTTCCAGATAGGCTGGGTTCCAGCCTCTGCAGCAGTTCCCACACCCTGCTTGGCCAGCCCCCAGGGAGCCAGAGGGGGTCAGCACCCTCGGCTCTGGGCAGAGAGGTCAAGTCTGCATTGGTCTGGAAGGGATGTGCCCTGGGGTCCAGCAGTGGGAAAGCCCAAACCCCAGGGGCACCAGCTCATGCCTGGAGAACTCTCTGCCTGCTTCTGACCAATTCCTACCCGAGGGCTCCAGGCCCCATCCTGGTAAGGTGCAAAGCACCCCCACCTTCCTCCTTTCAAGCAGTCCTGGGGCTATTATGCCTGCCTCAGGATGACAAAGGAAATTGATAAGACAGGATGTTAGGACCCCGGAGGCTCTGGGGTGCTGGGTGAGGACCACCAGGGTTCCCAACCCACAGCACAGTGCCTGGCATGCAGCAAGGCTCAGGACCTGCGATGGGTCTCTCCTGCCCCTTCATGTGCTGATGGAGTGACTCAGGTCCAGGCTGCACAGCTGAGAGGGCAGATCTGGCCCAGTGCCCCAGCATCCAGGCCCTGAAGCCTGGTGCCTGACTCTGGGCGCTTTGGTTCCAGAAGACTCATCACCAGACCAGTCTTGAGGTTAGGGAGGTGGGCTCCATGTTCTTCTGTCCTTCTGAACCTGTGTTCTCTAGGGAGTTTCTACTCCTCCGGCTGCCCCAGCCTCCTTGGTGGCAGCAAGAGACCAGCGCAGCTGTGACAGGAGCTGTCTGTTCGTGTCAGCCGTCAGGCCTAGTGCCAGTGCTCCCTCCGCAATAGTGACTGTCAGACAGCACTGTCAGGGCGCAGTGACAACTGTTCCCACCATCATCAGGCAGCTGCAGGGCCCAGAGCATTTCAGAGCTCCTGGGCTCCACGAAGCCTCTGTGTCAGCAGCCCAGGCAGTCCCCACGTGCCCCCCCTTTCGTGCATCCTCCCTGGGGGTGACGGGGGTGACCGTGAGACTGTGCACTGTCCCAACTATAGCTGCGGCTCCGTGCTTGTCTGTCTGCAGCCTTCCTTGCAGCACAGAAGCCAGCGTGGCAGTGCGGCGCAGTTCCCAGCTGCCCCTGCTTGCTGGCCCGGGCTCCCCATGTGTCCTTCATGCTCCCCACTCTGTGACTGCAGAAGCACAGGTGGTCTAGTCCCCGGCTCTGCACTTGGTCTTCCTCGCCCACCTTCCCTGAATTCTCCAGCTCACTTTCTAGTTTGGAGTTTGCATGGCTCTCCATTGGAACCAATACACCTCCTTCCTGCTGCTCCCTACACCTATCGAGGGGATGCCCTTGTCGGGGGCCCCATGGGTAGTGGCCGTGATGTAAATCTCAGAGCTGCTCCTTTTCATCCACCCCATCTTGGGTGTCTCCTGCTGCTTTCTCCACAGATGTCTTATATCACTTTTCCCCACCACCATCCGTCAAGAACGTGGCCCTGGGGAGGGGCCTCGAGGGCACCAGCCTCATTCCTTGTCCACTCTGCTGTGCCATGCACAGCCGCACTGACCACCCTGTGACGTAGGTAGGGTGTGACCCTCGCCCAAGTCTCCGGTGGGGCCTCAGGCCCTGCTCCGCACTGCCATGCCAGGCAGATGGCGGCGCTGAAGTCCCCAGCTCCTCCTGGGGTGCAGTCCCACGGCCGGCACCTTTTCTGGCCTTTGCCATGGGGCTAGTGCTTTGTGGGTGAGTGCTGTTCTCAGGGAAGTGGGGGGATTAGGGAAACTCAGCCCTGGGTCTCTGAGGTGGGGGGAAGCCAGAGAACAGTGTCTGCTGCATTCCCGACCCTGTCGGGAACTTGTGCGGCAGTATTCTGCGGGTTTGGAATTGTTCTTTGAGTTCCCACCATGTGTCAGGCACAGTCCTAAGCCCAGATGTGGAGGAGACTCCCCCACCTCCTCCATCTTGGGATTCATGTCCCAGGAAAGGCAGAGCCGTAACAGCCAGCCACAGCCCACCGTTGGTTCGGTCACAGAGACGGGAGCTGGGGGTGGGGGCGCACGGGGGCCCGGCTGATGCTGCCTTCCTGTGGGGGTCCCAGAGGGAGGGATTACCAGTCCCTTTATGCTTCATGGATGAGGGGGACTGCCTGGGCCCTGCAGCTAGGACAGGGCAGGGCTGGGTCCCTTCACTCTGCACAGCTGCCTCCCACACCTGAAATTCAGGACAAGTGGCACGCCTTGTGCTGGCCTCTTCCTGGTGGCCCGGAGCTACAAGGCCTTCCTCTTTCTCCTCCAGCCCAGCCAATGGGGGCCGCACCTGTTCAGGCCTTGCCTACGATTTCCAGCTCTGCAACTCCCAGGACTGCCCTGATGCCCTGGCTGACTTCCGCGAGGAGCAGTGCCGGCAGTGGGACCTGTACTTCGAGCACGGCGATGCCCAGCACCACTGGCTGCCCCACGAGCACCGGGACGGTGAGCCCCCAGGGACAGAGTAGAGCAGGTGCTCGGCGGTGGTGCCCCAGGTTGGGGACAGGCTGTGGCTATCAGCAGAGCCCACAGGGGCCCAGTCCTAGAATTTTTAAACATACCGTGGGAGTGGGTGCCAGGGCAGACAGGGTCCCCATCCTGGAGAGGAGCTGCAGTGTAGAGGGAAAGGCCGTCAGAGCCTCAGGGATCTGTGCCAACATCAGCCTGGCTCTGTTGGGAAAAGCTCTTCCTAAATCCAATAGCCTGGGGCCAAAGGCCCCAAGGCAGACTCGCCAAGGGATTTGTAGTCACCTGTCCCCGTTCACTTTCTGTCCCAGGCCCAGGGCAAGGCTGTGAAGGCCAGGTATTTCCCAAGAAAAGTCTCGGGAGAGCTTCTCCCTTGTATGGTGTTTCTCTTGAGCAAACTTGGGGAGCTAGCGAGCCGTGCAGCTGGGCCTCCTCGCCAGCACCCTGCCACTTCCCTTCCAGCCAAGGAGAGATGCCACCTGTACTGCGAGTCCAGGGAGACTGGGGAGGTGGTGTCCATGAAGCGCATGGTGCACGACGGGACACGCTGCTCTTATAAGGATGCCTTCAGCCTGTGTGTGCGCGGGGAGTGCAGGGTGAGTGCCGTGGGGATGGGGGCGCAGGGGTGTGGGCGCCACAGCTCAAGATGTCGGCTTCCTGGGGTTATGGGGCAGCCTCGTGGAGGCTGCAAAGTGTCGGAATGCAAAGTGTCAGAACCAGTGCCTGGAATAGGGAAGGCATGATTTCTTCCCTGTGCCAACGGCCCTCAGACTTGAGTGTGTCTGTGGGCTCCTGAGGAGCTTGAGGGCCCCACCTCAGAGGTTCTGACTCTGTAGCTCAAGGCCGGGCCTAGGTGCATAAATTTTACATGTTTCCCTGGTGGTTCTGCTGCATGTGGTTCACAGGCGACCAGTTGCAGAGTGCTGCCACCTTCTTGCACTCTGCTGGGCCCAGACAGCTCATTCTCCATCAGGGCGGCCCACCATGGGGCTTGCTGATTCGGCCCTTTGTAGAAAAGCCCTGCTGGGTTTTCCATTATCGCGTCTTTGGCTTCAATCTCGGGCTGTCACAAGAAACAACAGTGCAATAACCTTGCATTACCATCATGGCGTGAGCAGAGGCCTGCCCTCTGCCAGACTCCCTAGAAATAGCTGGAGGCCTCCCTGGAGTCTGATGAGGCAGGGCCAATTGTAGGATCTTAGAGGCTGACTTCTGTCACGTTTTCCTGAGAGACAGGATCTTCAGGAGGCCTCAGGCAGAAAGCCTGGCAGATTGCCACAGGCATCCCAGAGAAAGAGGGCGAGGCCAGGAGAGTGAGGAGGTAGGGTGCGGGGCGGCCAGACTGTGCTCAGAACTTCTGTCCACTCATGGAGGATGGTAGCCTGCAGCAAAGGAGGCTCCTCTAGACACAGCGGCCAGGGACCGGAGGGGAGCCACCCTGCTTGAGTCCGGCACGGAGGCCACGCTGCACAGTCCGCTCAGGTGGTGAGACCACATATGGAGGAACAGAGACAGCAGCATCGCCTTTGTTCCTGCAGGGTTTTAATTTATGGAGGTGACCTAGTGACAACCCAGAGAGGCCAGTGCCATTGAAGGAAGAACGAGTTACTTAGGTTTCCTGAGAGAAGGGCTCACCTCACTATGCAGGGCCCCGTGGGGAAGCACCAGGTTTGGTCGGGGGTGGGGAGGTAAAAAAGGGGTTGGGGGGCAGAGTTTTATGGGGGTCTCCTCAGGAAAGGCAGGCCGGACCCAGGAAACAGTTGAGGATGGGCAGGATCTGGGCTGGAGGGGAGGCCCCGGCTTCCTGTCACCTGGCCTGGGGATGATTCCTGGCAGGGGAAGTATCAGCTTGTGCGTGAGAGGCAGATCAAGGTGGTTATGGGGGATTGTTGTTTTACATACAAAAGGTGCTCCCAGACCAGCCCTTTGCTACCCATAAAAGCAGGCATGAGGGAGGGGCAGCCTGTCCCTAGCCAGCAAGTTCAAGATCTCAAAAGAGATTATATTATAAGACATGGAGGGGGTAGAGCTGGGTGGAGTTGTCGGTTGAGCGCCTCACTTGGTTTCAGGTCAGGTCATTATCTCAGGATGGTGGGATTGAGCCCCGTGTCAGGCTCTCACTCTGCCAGGAGTCAGCTTGGGATTCTCTCTCTCCTTCCTCCCTTCCCCTTGCTCGGGCGTGCATGCTCTTTCCGTGTCTGTCTAAAATAAGATAAAGTCTTTAAAAAAAAAAAAAGAACATCATAAGACACAGAAAAAATTTAGAACCATGACCAACACCAGCCGTATTACATTTAGTAATAGAAGTGGCTTTAAGCAGCAACTGTGATATGGCCGCAAACATAATGGAGAAGCCAGAGCACCCATTCACCGTCTCAGGAGCTAGAGCTTCACTGCACCGTTGACAGTCGAAGAAGAGGAGATGAAGCATTTCATTAATGATGATTTTGAAGGAACGACAGCAGGATGAGCAATTTCTTGCATCATTGGAAAACAGAAATATTTGTGTTTAATGTGATCATATAGCAGAAGTTCTAAAGCAAAGGAGAGGGGTTGGGACCACACTGAAGACGTGAGCAGTAGTTAAGATGAGGTACCGAGTCCTCACAATGCCTGGGGACGTGCAGCCCTTCTTGTGAAAGTATCTCATGCTGGGTCAAAAATCATGCCCGAGTGGACGCTGTCAATTAGGGAATATCAAAACACGACTCAAGAAGGTTAAGAGTGAAATGACAGCAGAAGACGCTTCGGGAGAACAGAGATCCATGTGCACGTACACATGTTCACACAGAGAAAGAAATGAAAAGAGTATCAAGAATTAAATGAGGCCAACAGAATAAAGGGCACAGTCCACTGCCCTGAGAAAGTAATAGTGAGTTATCAAATATATCATCCGAAAATGGCATTGAGAAAGGCAGAGATTGAAAGAAGCTAGCATCTGTCCTGATCTGAGGACTCACCTGCAGGATTTCATAACAGATGGGAGGGGAGGGAAGCAGCACCTCATGAGCTGTGGGCCCTTCCCCGTGGGACAGGGAGCCTGCCATCTCCGCCAGTGTCCTCCAGCCTGGCTTGGACTGCAGCAGAGTCCAGCGGCCAGCCCTCTCTGACCATTGCCTCAATGGGCAGCAGCCACACAATGCCTCTTGGGGACATGGGCCCTCCCCAACCTGAGCCGTCAACCCCAGTAGGACCACAAGTGAGATTTCAGACCCACACACTGACCCTGGTTTTCATTAGCCTCTTCTACTCAGTTAATGTCTTACGCACATGTTCCCCCTTATTCAGGCGCTGAATGTTAGAATGGCATCTCCTGAAGGTCTGTAGACACTTGCCAGGGATGCAGTCTCCCCCCCCGCCGGGGACAGTGCTTGCTTGCTCTGGGGGGTCAGGCCTCCTGATGAGCTGACCAGCAGCTGCTCAGACAAAACCGCTCCTCTCTAGGGCAGGCTGGCTCCTGTCCACTGTGATTATTAGACATACCTTGATTCCAGAAAAAAACAAAAGGTGATTTAAAAAATGCCTGAGAAGTAAGGAAAAAGGGTGACAGGCCATGTTAATATCTCTGGAGTTCTGACAGATCAAGTACTTAATTTATTCTGCTTTCCCTTTTGCTCACCTCTTGTGATTCTTGGGGAAAAGTCTCCATTGGAACAAGTGTCTTAAAATGTAGCCTGTTGCTTTGTTTTCCCTCTGTCCAGATGCCCTCCTTCTGTTCCAGCCAGCTGAATTTCTAACTAGTGTTTTGGGTTGTACATGGGCTGCAAGTCTTTTTAGAAAGAGCACATGAGCCAGTGAAGAGCTTCTAGAACAGAGTTGGTCCTCTGGTAAGGTTCACGAAATGATGTGGGCTTCGGAGTCCGGAGTTTGGGAGAGCACCTTCCGGATGCTGCTTTGCTCCCTGGCACTGCCTCCCACCTGCCTCTACAACTCAGAGGATTTTTGCTTCTGGTTTATTCTGTCTGAAAGAGAGCATGAGTCCCCCTCAGGTGAGAGGCTGAAGCAACCCTTCTCGCAGGGAGTGTAACTGTCCTGGCCTAAAAGCGGGTTCTCCCCGCCCCCCACACCAACTCCAGCCTTCTCTGAGGAAGGGAGCCTGTGACTGTTTCCAAGGCCCATCTCCTCCCCCCTAGCAAGAGCCCCCACAGGCTGGGCTGCTCTGACACCGTGTCATGAACATGGAAACCAACTCGGAGTGAGAGCAGCGTGCCCCCTGAGACCTCCATCTAGAAATGGCAAGTGGGCACATTCGGCTCAGGCTTCTGCACCTTTAAAGACCAATGTTTTCGTTTGGTCTTCTTTTTTCCCTGGTAGATCACGTTGTCTTCCTTGGCTAATTCCCCCCCCCCCCCCCCCCCGCCCCGCTCAGGAATCATTAAAATAAACATGAGCATGTTCATTTCAGTGATTGTTTTTCACCCCGCTCACTTTCAAAAATGATTCAAAGGGCTTATGATTACACCGGAATGGATAAGACCAAACACCATCAACATCAACATCTGTCCATACCTTCAGACATGATTCATGAACCACTCCTCTGTAGCCTTTTCATGGTGCAGAGCCCCTGCCCTGCAAGGCCATCGTGAGACAAAAGTCAGAAATCAAAGAGCAGAGGGAGAAGTGGGTTTTTCCAGAGGAAGGTAGCAGGGATGACCTTGAAGGGAAAATTAGCTCTGAGCTTCCTGGCAGCCTTGGCAAAAAGGAAAACCTGTCACGCTCTGATGCACTCTAGGACAGGCAGAGGGAGCCGACTAGCTCAGAGGGTGGGCTGTCTTCCTTGGCTGAGCTAGGAGAGAGTGGCGTCAGGCGACATGCTCAGGCCCATCCTGCAGGAGCTCCTTCTGTGGAGTTCCCCGGTCCTGGGAATGGTATGCTGCCATAGCTGTGGAGAGTAGAACCTGAACTTGTTACTACCTTGGCTGGGTGGCCCAGGTCAAGGGAACAACCCTGCTTAGTGTGGAATAATTCTGACACTGGAGTAGGTGATATTGAGAGGATTTCTTGAATGAATGGAGGTCCGGTTGTTCTCACCAACTCTTGTCGACTCCTGCACAGACACCCCAGAGACAGACTCAAGGGGGCATGGCGTTCTTGGGTCCTGCAGGCCCAAGCTTTGGGTGGGAGCCCCAGCCGGGCTGCACTGCGTGGGAGAAGGGCAGAGGCTAGGTCTGATTCACAGCCACTGGGACAGAGACATCCATGCAGAGGCTATAGTCGCCAGGCCAGGCCAGGCTCGGCAGGTGGCCCCAGTCAGGCTGTGCAGAGCCCTCTGAGATCACACTGTCCAGATGAGCAGAGGAGGGGCAGGAAGCAGCACTGGTGGCCTGTGGGTAGGCACACAAGGGTCTGTCTTGCTCCAAAGCCCAGTCTCTTTCCTCTGCATCAGAAACCTCTAAGGGGGGTGCAGGCTTGCGCTGCAGGGAGAACAGATGGCAGGGTCCTGGGGGCACAGATCAGGTTGGGGGCGCAAGTGGGCAAGGCTGGTGAGTACACACCGCACACCATCCTCCTGCAGAAGGTGGGCTGCGACGGAGTGATCGGCTCCAGCAAGCAGGAAGACAAGTGCGGCGTGTGTGGAGGGGACAACACCCACTGCAAAGTGGTCAAGGGCACATTCACACGCTCCCCCAAAAAGCTCGGTGAGTGAGCCCCTCCCTCCACCCCCTGGTGCCTGATTTTCTGCTGGCAGGATGGGGGGACGGGGGCACGAGAGGGGGAGGGAAGAGCCTAAGTCAGGTACAGCCTGAGCCAGGCTCCAGGCTGGGTGGGGAACAGGAACCTGGGTCTCAGGGGTCAGGGCAGAGAATTCCAACATACAAGTGCACAGGGCAGATCTCAGTCTTTATTTGAGGGCTGGGGCCTGCATAGGGCACCCCTCCCTTGCCTTCCAAAGCTGCCCAGCTGGACTCTGGGTCCTTTGCTCCCTGCCTCCTGCCTCCAGCTGGCTGTCAGCAGGACTGCCCTGGGCAGGCTGCAGAGCCACACAATGGGGCTGGGGAACTGGGGGTCCCAGGCCGACCTGAGCTCTGGGAGAACAGCCCTCTGGGTGGGCTTGCAATCACTATACCACTGTCCGAAACGGGGAGAAGCCACTTCGGTTTGCCTCTTAGAAAAAGGCCATGGCCTTGACTCAGAGCCGGCCCCAGGGTGCAGAGTGATTTTCCATGGCCCCATGAGAGCCCAGGGGTCTTCAGTTTGCAGATTAAATGGCTGAGGTCTAGGAGGCCAAGCAGTTTGCTGAGGGTCTACCTCCCAGATATGGCATCTTAGCTTCAAGCCCAGGTGTGGCTCCGGGCTCACCCTGAGGATTCCCTCGAAGTGTCCCGTGGAAAAGGCCCAGGGAGCACCTGAGGAGCAAAAGGGCTTTGGCCAGCTGGGACACAGTACCTGTCCCATCAGCCCTTGTCCAGGCAGGTAGTCAAGCCCATGAACCACGGGGCCATCTGGAATGGCCTTTGAGGGTGAGACCCCTCTGTGCATTGTCCGCATTCCAGTGGCCTCTTCTGACTCACTTGGCTTTGTCTTCCTACATCCCAACAAAGGTTACATCAAGATGTTTGAAATCCCGGCAGGAGCCAGACACCTGCTTATCCAGGAGGCAGACAGCACCAGCCACCACCTGTGTGAGTCTCTGAAGCCTGCCAGTTCTGGGCGTGGCTAGAGAGCCCAGGGGCAGAGGTCAGGCTGGGAGGCCCAGCTGCAGCTCCACCTCCCCTGTTCCTGGCTCAGCCCACCTGGGGGATCTTTCCTGGGGTCTTCTCCAGGCGGAGAGGCCGGGGGCTGGGATCCAAGGGCTCCTGGCAGCAGCTAGGGAGGGACATGTGTCCAAAGCATGCCGTACTCCTAGCCCACAGAGTGGTGACTGCCTACCTCCTCTTCCATCTTAAGGCCAAGGGGGGAGGCTCCCCCTACCAACTGGAAGGCAGGCAGAGTCTGCAAGCAGTGTCTGAGCAGCAGCCCCCACACCAACAAGAAAGCACCCGGGCTGGCCTGCAAATGGGGTTACGACCTGTATTTGCATATTTCCAATTAGTTTAATTTTAAATTCAAGAGATGCTACCTGGAATAGGGCTTTCTGGCATTTCTTGCAAATGTGGTTGCTCGTACTACTCTGAGTGACCTGCCTGCCTGCGGGACCGTGCCCTCCGAGACTGCTGGGATCCTTCACAGGCCTTCACCTGTTCTCACCCCCACCCGCTGAAGGCACGTGGGCCCTCCCTCTTGGGTGGTCAGGGCTGAAGTCCCAAGTGATGCTGGGAGTCACGGGGGAAATCCAGACAAGTCCATTCTCCCAGTTTGGGCCCCACCTTCCTCCTTGTGCCCTGGAGACCGGACCGGGTCAGGGGCTCCCCAAGTGCCACTGTCTGGCACCCCCACCAACACAGCGAACACCCCACTCTGTTTAATGCACATTGTTCTTTCTTCCCTGTTTTTTTTTTTTAAAGATTTTATTTATTTATTTGACAGACAGATATCACAAGTAGGCAGAGAGGCAGGCAGAGAGAGAGAGAGGAGGAAGCAGGCTCCCCGCTAAGCAGAGAGCCCCATGTGGGGCTCGATCCCAGGACCTTGGGATCATGACCTGAGCCGAAGGCAGAGGCTTTAACCCACTGAGCCACCTAGGTGCTCCCTTTCTTCCCTGTTTTAAGAGGAAACTTTATATTGCTACCCAAAATGCAAAACCACTTGCCTTAAGTGGAAGGAAAAATCTAAAAGTTGGTTCCTGAAGGGAGAGACAGACACTTGTATCTAAACACATTCCTGCTGCAGGCTCCAGGTCTGAGGCCTGATCTCTGCGTGAGAGGAGCCAGGGTTGGTGGCCAGTTGAGTGTCTGTAGGCCCCTGCTGAGGGTGTCTTTGTAGGGTGCACAGAGAACTACAGGACACTGGTGCAGAGAATGATTTCCTCCTTCTCGGATCCCTGTCTGGGGCCCCCAGTAGCTGCCTTCCACACTGTGGGACCCATGGGGCTTCCTGACCAGCCAGTTATTGGCTCCCAGACACCTGCTGATCCTGGGGTATTCCATGTGTCCCGTGCCACCCCCTGGTCAAGCCAGGTCTCTGAGGATGTATGGGGACCTCATGAGGCACCGGGTTGGGGTGAGGAGACTCTGCCTTTCAGCTGGACCTATGCTCACCCTATGGCAGGAAGCTTCACCCAGCCCTGTGCCCCAGTGTCCAGCAGATGCGCTGCACCCAGGAGGCAGGTGCAGGGTGCGGGGGACAGTGGCTCTGAGTCGACTGGAAGGAGGTGATCCTACAGTGGCTGCATGAAACCCCCACACCCCCAGGGACTGTGGGGCAGATCCAGGAAAGGGCCCTGGGCAGGGTAGCTTCGAGGCCAAGGCTGGATCCCATGGCTATCTGGGCTTCCACTGGCACAGGCCCCTAGCAGAGGGCAGCTGGGGCAAACAAGGATCTGCTCCCCATCACTCCCCTCACCAGTCCAGACCTGTGGACCTTGCTGGCCTCTCTCTCCAGTGTGCCCAGCTTCTGCCCCTGAGTGATCATGGCTGGGGGTGGGGGCTGTCTTCTGCTATTCTCAGCCGTCAAGAACCTGGAGACAGGCAAGTTCATTTTAAATGAAGAAAATGACGTGGATCCCAATTCCAAATCCTTCATTGCTATGGGCGTGGAGTGGGAGTACCGGGATGAGGACGGCCGGGAGACGCTGCAAACCATGGGCCCCCTTCACGGCACCATCACCGTGCTGGTAAGTGGAGGCAGGGATAAGGCCCGCCTGGGATGGAGATGGAGGGGCTTCCTGGGGGCCCTGGACCTCCCTGCATCCTTTGGACCCCTCTTGGAAATCATCCCTGGCTTGCCCTTTGGACCAAGGGTCTCCATCTATCAGACTTGGAGCCCTGAGACATGAGACTCTGGGCTCTGCATTGGGCCCTGGGGTATAGCAGTCCAACCCTCCCCTCGAAGGGCTTCAGTTTCCTCCTCCAAATGACATTCGTGGCCACCTTTTATCATGTCTGCTCATGTCTGCCATCCCATCCAAACCTTGCAATGCCCCAGGAGTGACCGACGGGGTTCAGGAGGTTAGCCTCCCAAACCAGGCTCATACCAGCCTTTGTCCCTAAGCAGGGCTAAGCCCCAAACTCTTCTGTGTCCAAGACCCACTTCTGGTGATGAGAATCCAGAGGGGGCTTGATTTTCTTTTCTTTTCTTTTTTTTCCCCAAGATTTTATTTTTAAGTAATATCTATACCCAATGTGGGGCTTAAACTCATAGCCCCAAGATCAAGAGACACCCATCCCGCTAATGAAGCCATCCAGTGCCCTGGGGACTTGATTTTCTAATTGCTTTTTGGAAGTTAATTTCCGTCACAGAAATAAGATGTTTTATTTGGGAAAAATGTAAAAGACTCTGGATAAGGCTCACGGGCCTTTAGCTCCTCTGTGAGGGTGAGTGCCCGTGGTTGGGTTTGGGCATCTGAGCCCAGGATCCGTGTGTGTCACATGTGTGTGCCCCTCTGCTCAGCTCACCTCACTTGCGGGGACTTCACCCCCGGAAGTGCTCTCAGCAACCTGCCTGTGGTGTGAACAAGTCAGCCGTATAAATTAAGGTGAACTCGAACAGAAACACACATAAAATTTGGTTATGTAATGACAGTGGGTGAAAGTACCCTGACCGGAGGCTGGCAGGACCCTGGCCCCATGCTCCTCCCCCCCAGCTATGGTGCAGGATCAGTGTATCCGAGCTTTCGGACACTTTCTAGAAGATAACCATGGCCCATAAAGGGAACCGGCCATACATGGGCCGGGGAGTGTGTTTCTAAACTGGCCGGTGAGGGCAGGTGGACAGCACAGCGGATGCATTCACGGCCATCTCCGGGCGCAGGTCATCCCACAGGGAGATGCCCGGATCTCGCTGACATACAAGTACATGATCCACGAGGACTCACTCAACGTGGACGGCAACAACGTCCTGGAGGACGACTCCGTGGGCTATGAGTGGGCTCTCAAGAAGTGGACTCCCTGCTCCAAGCCCTGCGGTGGAGGTGAAGGGTCTTCTCAGAGCTGGTGGTGGGGAGGCTCCTGGGAAAAGGGGTTCCTGAGCCCACGGTGCCCTGCTGACTGCCTGGCCTGAGGGACATGCTCAACGTGAGAAGACTGGCCCCAGGGGCAGGAGGCCAAGGCAGCAACCCACCTGGTGGGGGGCAGAGGGTGGGCAGGAAGGGGGTGCTCGGGGCAGCGGGCCGAAGACAGCCAGAAGGGCGTGTGGGGCGTCAGTGTTACATCATGGAGCTGCATCGAGAAGAGAGGGGCTGGCCTGGCAGGGGGCTGGTGTGAGGGTGGCGTGGGTGGATTATGCCTCACGAGGCAGGCCCAGGAAGGACTCAGGTCATGCAGGAAAGGGGCCCCCTCTGTGGAGGTCACTCCCCATGCTCATTCAGCAGGGCCTCCCAACTGTCCTGGGAGGGGCGGGGCTTCCTGCAGAGGTGTCCCACCTGCCCCGGACCTCAAACAGTCCACAGCTGGGTGGGACATACAGACGGGCAGGAGATTTCTGGTCTCCCACACGTGCTCACTGCTCCTGAGGGGCTGGACGAGCTAAGAGGCAAGAGCAGGTGGCCAGGACAGGCTCTGTCAGGGTCCCACACCTAGAGGACTGAGAGAATTTTGCCGAAGAAGAGGAGACTGCCCCCATGGCCCAGGCAGGTGGACAGCTCCCTCTGCAGGGCTCCCACCTGTGCAGATGGCACCCCCAACCCTCCCTTGAGCATGTCCTGCTGACTCTCCCTCCTCTGTATCTCGTGGACCTATCTGCTGTTCCATCTGCCCAGTGCTGGCACCATCCTTGCTCCCCAATTGACCCTTGTGTGTCCACTGTCACCCCTAATGTGACCTCTTATGGGTCCCTTCTTGGCGTCCCTTCCTAGTGCCATAGTTTTAGCAGCTCCCTCCACTCTTTGGATAAAGATGAGATTTTCCTCATGGCCTGTGTGGTCTGGGCAGCTTGCTGACCTCTTCCACTGTATCAGTACCCCTATCCCTTGCCCACCAGGCCCTGGCCACACTGGCCCTAGCTGCTTTTCCTGGATATGCCATATTCCTGCCTCAGGGCCTTTGCACAGGCTGTCTCTTCCCTGGAAGCCACTCTGCTGCCTTACCACTAAACCAGCATCCCTCCATTCTCTGCTTTCTAGGACCTCTCCAGATACCCAGCTTAGATCAGGCTGTCCAGCCACATTGTCTTGCATCTCACCTGGTAGCCTCATTCAGCAGGGCCTCCCAACTGTCCTGGGAGGGGCGGGGCTTCCTGCAGAGGTGTCCCACCTGCCCCGGACCTCAAACAACCACTTGGAGACCTTGGAGTTGTTGACACACTGGGCTTTATAATTCTTGTGAGGTCTGTCCCATGCATTGTAGGATGTTGAGGAGCATCCCCGGCTTCTATGTGCTAGATTGCAAGAGGCACCCCCAACCCTAAGTTGTGACACCTAAGTGTCCCAGATATTGCCCGATGTCAAAAATCGCCCCATTGAGAAGAGCTTTCCTAGACTGTGGTGAGAGGAGCCTTACAGGCCATGTTTCTGTGTTAAGCCATCTCCAGGCTCATCGCAGGGCCTCCACATGGGTTAATTCGAGGTGGAATACCTGGCTGAGCAATGGAGAGGAAATAGAGCCCTCCCTCCTGCCCCAGGAAGCCAGTTTAGAGACCAGGGAACAAGGTGGCCACTCTCTCCTGGCCTCCCACTCGCTGAGCCTGGGGTGCTGGGTGGACATGAGGCTGGACATCTCCAAGGCCCAGCCCTGGCACATTCCCCCCTCCCTCCCCATTAGAGGGCTGGGGAAAAAGGGGCTGAAGCTGCTCATGGAGCTGCTTCTCTATGCCCCCTGGAGGGGCCACACTGCCCCATGAGCCCCCTCAAGCTCTTGTCTTTAGGCTCCCAGTTCACCAAGTATGGCTGCCGCCGGAGGCTGGACCACAAGATGGTACACCGAGGCTTCTGCGACGCCCTCACGAAGCCCAAAGCCATCCGCCGGGCTTGCAACCCACAGGAGTGCTCCCAGCCAGTGTGAGTGCCTGGGGCCGCCTGGCTCCTCCAGCCCTGGTAACTCAGAGAGACAGGCCTGTACATCCCTTCTTCAGAGACCCCAGCCTGGGGTCCCGTGAGACTGGAGAAGGTAGACCCCCAGGGCTCCTGGGGAGGCAGGTGCAGGCTTTAGGCCCTGAGCGGTGCTGGCCGTCACATCCCCTGCCATGTTGGTGGGTTCTTTCTCCCTCAGCACGTGTCATGGGGTCTAAGACCCTCAGGCTGTGCGGTGTACCCCTGCTTTGCACATGCTGCACTGAGACAGTCATGTGTGTCTTAGAGATGATGACATGTGCTAATGCCCAGATGGGGAAACTGAGGCTCAGTGGGGACTGGCCTGCTTCAGGTCCTATGGTAGATATTCCCCAGGCCGCTCACTGAGGCAGCCGCAGCCTTGATCCTCTAGCCCAGGGCTTTGGCAGGGCTGCATTTCCTGGCCCAGGTTCCTTTCGCAGGGCCCTGAGGGGAGAGGGTGGTTGGTACTTAGGCCTGTGGGGGCTGAGTGGGGATAGGTGCTATGGGAGTCCACCCTGCTGCCCTGAAGGGTCTGTGATGTCAGCAACCACGGAGGGCAGAAGGCAGAGCCAGGAGCCTGAGAAGGGACAGATAACCAGGGCTCTCCATGCCCCCACCTGGCCCCAGCAAGGCCCGCAGCAGTGTCACCTGCTAGATCTCAGTCAGAGCCTCTGTCAGGCTCTAGGCTGTCTTCCCAAGAAAGGGGAAGATGCCCCGGGGAGGCAGGCTGCCTTCCCTCTGCACCCCTGGGCCACAGCCCAGCCAGCTCTCAAAGGGGACTGACCTATTGCTCTGCCCCGACAGGTGGGTCACAGGTGAATGGGAGCCTTGCAGTCAGAGCTGCGGGCGGATGGGCACGCAGGCTCGCTCTGTGCGCTGTGTACAGCCCCTGCACAACAACACCACCCGCTCCGTGCACACCAAACATTGCAACGACGCCCGGCCCGAGGGCCGTCGGGCCTGCAACCGTGAGCTCTGCCCCGGGCGATGGCGGGCTGGACCCTGGTCCCAGGTGAGAGGGCCCCCTGGCCTCGCATCCTCAGCCCCCAAACCCAGCTTGGGCGGGACCGAGGGGGTCAGAGCGCGCCACCTGGGTCTGGACGCAGTTCTTGGCCCGGACCACATCCTGTGGGTCACAGGGCATGGTGGAGGCCACACGGTCCATGCTCTGCTGAGAAACTGACTGGAATGGGTCTTTGCACTGCAGGGCAGAGGCTGCCATGTGCTACAGGAGCCCAGAGTCCTGGGAGAACGGGGGCAGAGGGGTGGTCTGGAACACCAGCCAAGCTGGCAGGAGGGAACATGGGGCAGGGAGGACTTGGACCGGGGCTGGAAAGAATAGTGAGGCTGGTCTCAGGGGCTGGAGCAGCAGTCCAGGGCCAGGGCTAAGCTGACATGAGTACTGACACCCAGCTCACAGGCCTGGTGGGTCAGGGTCCTCAAGACCAGCCTCGGGCTCAGTGATTCACCGGAAGGACTCACAGGACTCAGACGTCATCATACCCACAGTTATAGTGCATTTCAACGAAAGCACGGGGTAGAATCAGCAAGAAGGGAAGGTGCGTGGCCAAGCCTGGAGGAAGCCAGGCACAAGCTTCCAGGTGTCCCCTTCTGGCGGGCTCCCAGGGCACACTCGGTTCTCTCAGCAGCAGCGTGGGACGGCGTGCATGAAATGCGGCCAGCCAGGGGAGCCCCATGAGCCTAGGTGTCCAGGGGCTTCCGTGTGTGCCTGACTCTGGTTATCCAAGCTCTAGGCCCCCGGGTCGGGGAGCAAGTGCTCACCGTCAAACACACTGTTGGCACAAACTAATTGGACAGACTGGTGCGATGTGACTCGGGGCCTTGGTATGCAGAAACACTCTCCCCAGACAGAACATCCTACGAGCGTGGTCCCCAGGAGCTTCCCAAATCCTGGTCCTGAAAGCAGGCCTTCTTTGGGGCTCTGTAAAGTTTGAGAAGCCTGGGACTGCCGAGTCCACCATTTCCTGCACCATGTAAGGTGAGGACTGGGGCATTCTCTCAGTGGACCTGGTCTGAGCCGGGACCCGAGCCGGGAGCGTGGGTGTGATGGCTTTGGGCCTGTCCCCATGCAGTGAGGTGGAGGGGGTGCCAGGCTGGAGGGGCCAATGAGGGGGCTGGTGGCAAAGGCCCTTGTGTCCAGGGGTCCTCTGCCACAACCTCCTGGTCTCCATCAGAGCATTCCCAGCAGCCCCTAGCGCACAACAGGCTCTTCGTGTCCTGGGTGGGCTTCCTTCAGCCAGAGAAGGGAGATGCCTGTTGAGAACCTGGAAGTGTCAGGCTCTTACATCTGCTCTAACTCATAGTAACTCACAGAGATAGGCCCATGTGTCCCCGACTTCAGAGACTTAGGAGGTTGGGGCAGCCACTCAAGGCTGGGCAAGGCAACACTGGCCCCTAGCTCATACTCTACCCTCTGCCCCCCACCACCTTCCACGTGTTAGCAGGTCTCATGTGTGGGGAGCCCTTTTGGGCCCGGCCGACCAGGGAGGCAGGCCCTGACTCGTGACTCTCTACCTGCAGTGCTCCGTGACCTGTGGCAATGGCACCCAGGAGCGGCCCGTGCTGTGCCGAACTGCAGACGACAGCTTTGGGGTCTGCCGGGAGGAGCGGCCTGAGACAGCCAGAATCTGCAGGCCGGGCCCCTGTCCCCGTAAGCCTCCTGCTGCCCCCAGCCCCAGCCCCCAGTGTGCAGTGGGCCCGGGTGAGGAGGACTGGTCTGGACTCAGCATCTGTGACCCGGAGGGAGGCACTAGTCAGAAATGGGAAGAACTCAGTCCTGACTGCCGTCCTGGCCACTCCGCAGTGGTTTGAGAGACAGAAGCAGATTCATGGTGACCACGTGACCACCACCTCCTGACCCAGTGGGGCTCTGCCAGATGGGGCACCCAGGTCCATGCAAGAAGGGGGTGCCTGTGTGAGTTGGGGGTACCCATGCAAGGAGGGGGTGCCTAGTGCCCTCTGAGGAGAGCAACCAGAGCACCGTCTGCATGCAGACACTTTTGGTCCTGGAAAAAGCTCAAGATGTGGACCCCACTGTGAATCCCATCTACAAAGGAGGGAATTCAGGGAGGTCAGATGTGCCCACCCAGCCAGGCAGGGGGCTAGAGCCGGGATTCACTTTCTCCCCATGTTGCTGGGGAGCAGGCAGGGTGGGGTGTTGGGTAGTGAGTAGCTGAGACCCAGGAGGCCTGGTGGGAGGTGGGAGAGAGGCAGGAGTTGGGCTTGGCCTGGACTGCCAGGGCCTCTCTGTCCCAAGGGTCCTCAAACGCCACAGGGGGGAGTCAGAGCCCTCCTGCCGATCCTGCATGCCTGGGGTGGTGGGTGCCGGCCCAGTGTGGGGCCTCAGGAGCCACAGCCCCTCCTTTCCCCTCTAGGAAACATCTCCGATCCTTCCAAGAAGAGCTACGTGGTTCAGTGGCTGTCTCGCCCAGACCCCGACTCACCAGTCCAGAAGACCTCGTCAAGTAACCGGCCCGTTTATAACTCTGCCTCTGCCCTCCAGTGCATGCCCTGCGCCCTGTGGAGCTTGCCGTGGGCTCCCCTCCTCTCCTTCTATGGAAAACTTCCCTGACTCTTCCTGAGCGCTCTCTCGGTTCAATCTGATTTCTCCTGGGCCTCTGTGCTAGGCCGTCTCCTTTGGAGCCGCCCTGGCTGCCTGGCTGGGAGGGCTCGCCTCGCCGAGGCATGGCCCCAGGGCACTGGCCTCCTGTAGGGGGCCGGGACCTGGTTGGTGATGGCGTGTAAAGGGGCAAAGATCTGTCTTGGTGCTGGAGGGGCCGGAGGCCAGAGTGCACACGTGACCGCTTGGTGACCACCTCTCGGGGCCACACCCCTCCAAGCTGGAGCTGCAGGTTGGAAGTCAAGGGGGAAACCCACCGGTCCCCTTTCAGACACTGCCCACCAGCGAGGCGTGAGGCCAGAGGGGGTCTGGGGTGCACAGTGTTGTGCCACCGCGCCGGGTGGCCCAGCCCCGAGATTCCATGGGTACGTCGGGGCTCCCCGGCGGTCCCTGCTGTTGCTGCTGCTGCTGACCCTGTGCTCAGTGTGTCCTCCTGACTCGTGCGACTGTGGCCTGCTTCCTGTGGCCTTTGCATCCAACTTCCACAGCCCTTGGCCCCCGTGCCCCGTCCCCTTGGGGGGTTTGGGTCACATGGAGGTGGCAGAGGACTTGTCCCTCCAGTGGGACATGGGGACACACCGCCACTTCACTCTCTGTCCATTAGCTCCAATGGCCTTTTCTCATCGTGTGCACATGACCCCATCCATGGAGGTGAGAGAGTGAGAGATTGAGAGAGAGAGAGAGAGAGAGACTGTCTGATGTGGATGCGGCCACCTACCAGTGTGAACAACTACAGAATTACCTCAATTTTTATTGATTTTTTTTTGCTTAGATAAAACTATGTAGAAAATGCCTTAAAGTTGAAAGGTAACAGAGTTGGCTGCTAAATCCAGCTTCAGAGCGGGGTCGTGATCCCGGTAGGAGGCAGGCAGCGCCAGCCCAGGTGGAGGCCGCCCAGCTCATCCAAGGTTTCTCACAGCTGGGGGCCTGTGCAGGGGGAGCCCTGGGCGTGCTGGCTCCAGCTGGCTCTGCTCTGCTGAGCGGAGACCCGCTCTGAGGCCGTGCAGCCAGTTGGCACTGACTGTTTGCTGAGCCCCCTCCCGGGTGCTGCTTTACACAGAGGGCAGCACACCGGCCCCCGCGGCGTGCCCCGGGCCCCTGCGTCGCACCCCGATCCCCACCCTGCCCCCCCCCCGCTAACCGCACCCCGCCGCCTCCTCCCGGCTCTGACTACTGTTATGTACATACTTGGTGTGTAACGCGTACTAATTCTCACGACTGTTAACTTCCAACTTTGACTAGGCCACGGGAGTGACTCTGCCTCTGGGAAGGTGCGGTACGGTCCTGGGCATCGTGCTGTCTGTCTATATGCACTTTGGTTTATCAGGGATATTTTATTAGTGTTTTGTATGTATCCAATGACGTAATACCTAGGTTCCATTGTCGTCGCTTTTCTGGTTTTTTTATGAGACAACGTTAGTGTGTGCCAAAGTGACTGTGGAAATGACCTTTTCTCCTCACTAACGATGGAAAGACTTCCTGTCATGCATCCCACAAATAAAGTCAATAAAAGTTCCGTGAAACTGGGTGCTCGGGTTTGGCCCGGGCTGGCTCCTTCTCTTCACCTCGCGGCTGGTAGCGCCGCCGAGCTGCTGCGGGGACCCTTCTGTCACATTAGGGGCTGGGCTTCTGCTTCAAATGACTGCCACCCCCGACCCCTGCCCAACGTGGATATCTAGGCCCCTCCCCCACTCTGGGCACTTTTCAAAACGTGACAGCAGCCTGTGGAGACGCTCCACCGTGACTTTGACTTCTGAATCGTTCCTGCTGAACGAGCCCCTCGCGGGACCGTCTGGGTTCTCTTCTCACAAGTGGAGCTTTCACCATCAGGGAGAGGCCCTGGGGGGTGAGTCTTTCCCCCTCTCTGGGATCAGTGGAGTGGGAATGTGGGGTCAGAGGCCTGACGGTGCTGGTCCTGGTCACTGCGCTGTGAGCCACCATCGGGCCACCACCCTGGCTGCTGGCACAGCTGTCAACCTGAGATGATCTGTTCTGGAGGGGAGAGGCGCCCACCTGGTCCAGGTCCAGGGTCCAGGTCAGGACGAGGGCACGGCAGCAGTGGCTGTGGGCACGTGGCCTATGCATTTGCATGAGCGTGTGCTCAGTGGTGCCTGCTTGTGTCTCCTGAGGCCTCATCTCAGAAGCCCTGGGGCCTGCTGTGTTTGCTCACCTCACTGACCAGGACCAGGCGGCGGGCCAGGGGCCAACAGGGCCCTCCAGCCAGTGGGCTTCTCCCTCCTGCCTTTCCTGTGAAGGGGTTCCTGTGCCAGGGAGGAGCATCACAGAGACAGGCTTCAGGGCACAGGGACAGACCCTAGTTGCCAGCCTGGAAGTATGGGGTCACAGAACCCAGTCCAGAGCTCTGGTCATTGGAAGGAGACGCAGGAGACCCAAACAGCTTCCCCTGACAGATCTGCACCCGTGCAGTGTCCCTGCCCAGATGGATCAGAAGGAACCCCTGCAGAAGTGGCTCCTGACACCCCAGGGACAGCTGGGGTGCACCAGGCCACGGCCAGTGGGGGGTCCCACGCTTCCTTATCCTGTCGCCCAGCCTTTGGGTGGTGAAATCCTGCGTGAGGCTCGATTGAGGAAAGAGAGAACCAGGTTCTCCCCCTCCCAGCCTTCCCCAAAGCGGGGGACACAGGGTGGTTTTAGGTGGTGCAATAAACATGACCTGAGCTCCCCTGAGCAGCCCCCCGTTCCCCAGTTCCCTGTCCCCTTCATAGCACCTGGAGAGGAGACCCCACCGGGGTAGGGATGCTGTGATCTCCCTCACGCTAGCTTGCTTCTCTGCAGCTTAGAGCCTTGCAGGCAGGGCGGTCTTCCTGGAGTTGGAGGGATTAAATGGCGACTTAAAACTTGTCTTTGCGTTCCCGGTTAGGGTTGTCTTCATTGACCGCCGCTTCTTTCCCGTGAACTGTGGTAGTGGAAAGTTTTCTTCTAAAATAAACTTTAAGCTTAAAAAGAAAAAAGGAATTCATTTAAAGGAGGAAGTTAGTGGGCCAAACAGAACACGGGCGATATTTGGCTGGAGCCGAGATGGTGGGAAGGGCTCGGGAATGGCTTCAGTTTATGAGAATGGGTTTGGTCTCAGTGGCTTGTTCGCTGGAAGGCAGTAGGTCTTGCTATGTCATTGCTACTGGGAACAGCTGAAGATCAGGTACCAGGAAAATGGGATTTTTCCCTGGGTGCAGGGACCCTCCACCAGCGGCTGCCTCCAGATATGTCATGGGCCCCTTGGTGGTGGAATTCCTGTCCACTCGGAGGGTTCTCTGCTCAGCGATAAGACTTAAAAATACCCAGCCGTTGGTGTCCTTAAGAATGGTTGGGAATAATGATTTTGAAATTGGTCTAGACCAATAATAGCATAGCCAAGCTCTTGGCCCGTAGCTTTCTTAATTACTCATTTATTCATTCATTTATTCATTCTCACTTTTAAGAACGTAAAGCAATGTAGCCACTGATCAAAGGAACCTGGGCCTGGCCCCCCAGCTGTCACCTACCTGTGGCAGGAAGATGGACTCTTTGCCCTGACTCGCCCATGTATTCAGGGACATTTGTCGAGTGCTCTGTGTGTCAGTCTCTGGCCTGGGCACTGGGACACCACCGGGCACCTGACCACAGGTCTGCAAGCTTTCTGTAAAGTGCCAGATGGTAACAGTTAAACCTTCTTTACAAAACCAGGTGGAGGTGCAGACTCGGCCTACAGACACTATCAGCCGACCCCTGCACTCTGCTGACAGGCTGCCTGGTTCCCAGGGTCCCGGCCTGGGGGAAAGAAGTGAGGGAGAAGTTTGCCAACAGTCTTGGTGTTTGTCTGAAGGAGAAGGCACAGGTGATGGGAGGCCGCTGTTGTAGCAGGGGTTCCCTGCAGCACTGCCAGTACAGGCTCCATGCTTGTATTGTTGAGACCTAGGCCTAAGTGGTTTTCACACAGCTCACCTGGTGGCTTCCAAGAAGGGGAGAAGGGCCAGGAACTGGGGAAGGGAGCAGGTGGGGCTCTGAACACCCCCGAGCTTCAAACAGGACCACTCCACCTGGTTTGTAGGTCAGGCAATCTTATCTGGCAATTAAGTGTGCTCTTGCCAGCTGGGACAGAGTGCCGGGAATGGGAGGGCCTCCCATAGGAGGGTAGGCAATGCTTGCCTGAAGACAGGGTTCAGTAAGCCTGGAGAAGGAGATGAGAGCAACTAAAGAAAGACAGAGGAAGTAGGCGTGGTATGTGCAAAGGTCCTGAGGTTAGAGGGAACACAGTATAAGGTGGGGGGGGTCTAAGGCCTGAGTGAACCTAGGGAGTTGAAGGGGATAGGTCCTCACCCCGAAAACGAGATACAACACAGGGACTTCAGTCAAGACAGTGACATGGTCATATCTTCAGTTGAAAAACAGCATTCTGACTGGAGCAGGATAGTGGACAAGAAAGAGAAAGAATTGAGAAAGGCAGGTGGAAAGGAGGCTCTTAGCACGGTGCAGACAAGAAGCAAAGCTGTTTGACCCCACGGAGGGCAAGAGAGGGAAACACAGACATACCAAGAGTGTCTAGCAGAAGATCCTGATGGACTTAGGGGTGAATAAAAGGGGTTGGAGGGTGCCTGGGATTTGGCTTGTGTGCTGGAGAGCCCATTCTCTGAGACAAGTGGTCCAACAGAGACCCTGGGCTTACACCAGACAAGTGGAGTCTCAGGCACATTGGGGGCCACAGGGCTCAGGAGTCTGTCTAGTAGGCAGCTGTCTCTGAGAGGCTGAAGCTCCAGGGGTTGGGGTCAGTGTCTAACCAAGGGGGCCACCAGCCTGGGAAGGCACATTGCAGCCTGAAGCAGTGGGCAGGCAGTGGGCGCCATCAGAACCTCCTGAATGGGAGGAGACCTGCTTGTTGCTGCGAGAAGCTCTGTGGGTGAGCAGAGCTGCAGGCGAGTCTATGGACCACACCCCACATTGACGCGCAGCGTAACTGCATCAGAGGTGGCTTCCAGCCCTGGCTGCCACTTCCTTCCCACCTTAATCCTTCCTTTCAGGAGGAGTGGAGGTTGCAGAGGGAGAGGGAGGGAAAGGTTTGAGGTCCTCGCTGGGACAGCAGAAGGTGGCTGAGCGGAGACACAGTAGGCAGGGGATGCCCAGTGATGCTGGCCATTGGGAACCAGGGGTCCGACATCCCCTGTTGTGCTAGCTCGTGACTTATTCTCTCCTGTCAAGTGAATTCTTGTAAGTCCTCTGTTTTTGTGCCGTGTGTGGGATGAGGTGGGGGGTGCAGGGAGGAGGGTAGCAAACTCAGGAAGAAGACAGTGAAGGAGAGTAAGAACAAGAGGGGGTTGGGTGGGCGGGACTGTCGTTGACCTTGAACCACACAGGTCGGAACTACACCGGCCCATATACACATGGGATTCTTTCAATAAATACAGCGCGGTATTCCCTTACAATCTTCTTAATAGCGTTTTCTCTTCTCTAGCTCACTTTATTATAAGGATACAGTGGATAATACATATGCCATACAAAATCTGCATTAACTGACTGTTTATGCGATTGGTAAAGCTTCCTGGCCAAGGGGGCTATTGGTAGTTAAGTTTGGGAGGAGTCAAAAGTTAGATATGATCAACTGTGCAGGAGGTTGGTACCCCCCCGGCCCCCTGGAGTTCAAGGGTCTGCTTTGATACAGCCGCAAACAGAGCTCGAGCTGGGTCCGGAGGAAGGCAGCTGTGCGGCCAGACACCAGCCTCTCCAGGGAGCCATGCAGGCTATACAGCAGGGGTCCAGCCTCTTGGACCAGAAGGAGAGGGGAGGGAGAGGAGCCTGCTGGAGGGCAGCAGGTTGGGGAGCAGTTTGTGGGGGGCTGGCCAGGAGTTCAGTGTGGCGAGCCCGTGTGAGAGGTCGAGGCAAGGGGAAACAAGCCCAGAGAATTTCGGGTGAGGATGGGAAGGTGCTATGGCGGAACGTGGTGAGGCCACCACCAAAGCTCTGGGATGTGTTCTATCAGGTTCTTGAAATCAGTTCCCTCAGGTTGTTTTGTTATCGATACTGCTTATAGGTTATTAAAGGGCCAAACTGCGTCACAGGATTTCATGGGGGTCACCACTGGGACATCAAATAGGAATCGGACAAAGTCCCATTCTTTAAGACAAGTTGGAAACACTCCGTAAGAACAGACACACCTCATGTCTCGGACTTTGAGAGAGACAGAAAACCCCGGGGGCCTGCCTGGAGGTGGGGAGCATTGCTCACAGCTTGTGTGGCAGCACTGTGCTCCGGGGCTGCTCTGATGTCAGAACCACACAGACTTTCTGCGTGAGCTCGCTTTGCCGCTGTGCCATCTCTGGGCTCTTCCACACGCCTCTTCCTGCTTCCTGGGGGGGAACCAGGTCCCCCCGCTTACCCTGTCCTATGGTTATTTGTGCCACTTTTCTCTTTCAGAGGGCCGCTGCCAAGGTGACAAGTCAATGTTCTGTAGGATGGAAGTCTTGTCTCGCTATTGCTCCATCCCAGGCTACCAAAAGCTGTGCTGCCAGTCTTGTAACCTGCACGACAACCTCACCGAGGTGGACAATGGGGCCGAGCCACCGCCCAGGAAGCTCAACGACATTGAAGAGCTCATGCCCACCCTCCCGGTGCCTACCCTTGTCATGGAGGCGCACCCTGTGCCAGGCACACCCCCACAGGCACCCCTCAATGTCTCCAGCACCAACAGCACCGAGGACCACCCAGACACCAACGCTGTCGACGTGCCCTACAAAATCGGCGGCCTGGACGAGGAGGTCCAGCCGCCCAACCTGATCCCACGACGACCGAGCCCGTACGAGAAGACCAGAAACCAGAGAATCCAAGAGCTCATTGATGAGATGAGGAAGAAAGAGACGCTCGGGAAGTTCTAATAAATGGAAAGATAGCATCCATAGCATTTTTTCCCCTTGCTTATAGATATATTCCATGGGATGGCAAATCGTGGAGTTGAAGGAAAAATTTCTGATTCCAAAAGGGTTTTGAGAAAACAGAGAGGGAGAATGACATAAACATCTATGCCTATGGTCGTGAGCATGTGGCAGCCAGCTTCACACGTGTGTGTCCCCAGCTCCGGCATGTTCTAAGTCCCGTGCTGGGACCAGGTGTGGGAGGGAGAGGAATATAGCAGTTCTACGATCGCCATCAGTGGGGGTGGGGGCAAGAGGCTAAGTCAGAGAGAGGAGACACGTGTCCCCGAGTTCCTGAGCAGTGATAGGGCATCTTCTTTCCTTGGCGGTGACCAACACTTCTGGAGCTGCTGGACATTTCCTATCCATCCCCAGACGGAGGCACGAGCCCCACGGGTACTCCTAGGAGGAACAGTGATTTATCTGCTGATCAACCCGTCATTAAGATGAGCACAATGGGAGGAGGCCGTGAACTTGAATGCCAGTGAGTCCAAGGGCCAGGCAGGAGGTGGGGATGAGCATGGTGGCCCACTGGGGACTGCGACCAACCTGAGAGGTATACCCTGCTAGAGCTGCTTGTGGGCTCCAGCCCTTGCTGCCTCTGGGGGAGCCGGCCCCGAATGCCAGTTCATGTGCTTTCAGTAGTAGTCTAGCTTTGCCTGCGAAATCCTCAATCCTTACACTTCAACTCAGAATATGTCAGGGGGATCTGGAAGGTCTGTTAGTGTCTAGAGCCCCCAGACTGCAAGCCTCTGGTCTCTGGGCCTGGCCGGATACAGCCGCTCGGAGAAAGGACCTCAGAAAAGCCAACTGGCCCATTTGGTGCTCTTGCCCGGTGTTCGACTCAGCCCACACTGATCTGTGAAGCTGTCCGCTCCTTCCCGGGAGGGTACTGGGACTTGATAGATCTAAACAGTGGGCCACGTTTCCTCCACGAGGAGAAGACAGCAGGGTGCACTCCAGGCACTCCCACGCCTCTCTTGTCTCCGCGAACCCTGGCCCACATGCAAGGCCTAAGACTCTCCCAGTCGAGGGGAGGGGGTGCTGCCACCATGGTGGCCATGCTCGGGGTTCTGAGATGGGACTCTATGGGCTCAGGTTGGCTTCTGAAGACCAGCTTTGCTTGTGGGGGTGGCCTTGCCCCGTCTAGCCCTGTGGAACCCCCTTCTGTGCCTTGGAAGTCCCAGCAGGGACCTGTGGAAATCTGACCTCTGATGAGAAGCGCAGGGTGGGAGGTGGGGAGAACCTGCTTTATCTTCGGCCATTCCCAAACTTTTACAACTTCTGTTTTTGGCAGAATGGTGTTTTGTGAGCAAGATGTGAATGAGAGAGAAATGGGAAGGGAGAGGGGGTGGACAGGAAGATGGTGTCTATTTTCACCCCTCCCTGCATGGATATTTTGTGAACATGTAGCCTCAACTTCCCCAAATTATAAGACCCAGGGGCACTTCAGCTCCTTAGCTGGGCCTGGCCTCACACGTGATTCTTAAGTTTTCTGTGTCTAGGAAAGTTCTAGAGCCTTTGTATTCTCACCAGTCATAGGTTTTTAGAGAACTCTTTGTGTTTAGTTCCCATTCTATGGATGGGAACACTGAGGTTCAGGATAATACCATGATGGCTACTTTATACTGAGTCTGAGGTGCTCAGTATGTTTGTCTGATCCATGCATGTGTGTGGGTGTGTGTCTGTGTGTGATCTAGGGGACAAAGTGAGGGTGTAGGAACAGTGAGAACGCTATCTGGGATGATGTTTAACCTCCCCACTGGGTGATAACTAGATGCCTGTCACCCCTGCCTGGCCCACCGGCCTCCCTCCTCTCTGCCACCGTGTCCCACTCACTCATGTCCTGGTGTCTCAAGGGAGCTTGCTGGCTCCTAAGTAGCAAACTGGAGAAAACATTTTTTGGCTATCTCTCATAGTATCACTTCTGTAACAGATGTGATCTACAGCACTTTTGCAATCCTGTCTCTCACTGATCAGGAAATGGATGCCTCGCCTTTCCCCGACTGGTTGAAGCTATGGCTGCTGGTGCTATTCATGGGCTGAAGGACTGGGAAGTTCTTGCTTAGGTCTGTCTTGGGATGCAGAAAGCTCAGGATGGCTGACCCTACCCAGAGAGCATTACTTAGTTTACCCAGCCTGGTAGCCTCAGGATGGGAACACTCCATTCCCAGATTCCGGTGAAGCAGGGCTGCATGCCTTGGGGACTGGAAGGCTTCAGGGAGAGGCCCCAGCTGGGACCCAGGGTTACCTGTCTTCTTCTGGAAGGAAAGAGATTCCCTCTGGGAGCTGTAGTCCAGCATGCCCACTGTCCCATAGGTCATACTTAGTGCCTGGGACCATATACACACACAGTTCTCCAGAACCGGACAGTCCTCCGAGGTCTCTCTATCCAAGGAACACAGGGTTTACCAGACTCTGAGAGACTCCTAATCCCCACTGAGCTCGGAACTGGTGGGAGAGTCAGTTTAGCAACAGTCCTGAACTTCCAGAGCTGGTGTCCGTGTCTGGAGGCCCCTACAGACTGAAGGCCAAGGCGGTTTTCTAGCTGATGTTCTGGAGCACCATTCAGAGACTCAGAGCTCTGTCTGTGGCTCCAGAAAATTGCGTCTGTGGGGAGACTTCTGCTGGGATTGGGGACCTGGCTCTCTGATCTGCTCCTTTTGGAAAACCCATGGAATTTCCCGTATAAGCCTTCTGTTTGTATTTTAAGGTTGTTTGTTTGGCGTCTATAAATGGTGCTCAGTAACACTCCTATGAGATGAAGCCTGAGGACTCTGTTCCGCCAAATGCCAGGCAGCTGCCACAGGAATCATCATGGTGCTGAACTCAAATCACAGCATTTTATCTCACTGATCACAGCCATCGACACATTTGTTTTCTGTATAGAAAAAATTGGCTTCTTGATTTTATAACTTATTAAAGTCAAAATGTCTGTGTTTTTGCATATCATGCCTGTGTTTGTGTGTTACATTGAGTACACTACCCCCTGTCTGCAGCCTGAACTGGGCCAGATGGAAGGATGTGCTGCCTTCACAAGGCCAAGGGGTAGGCATGGGTGGCATCAGGGGGCACCGAGACATGGCTGCTCAAGTCAGGATCCTGGGAAAGACCAGGGGTGCCCAGAAGGACAGGTCCCTCCCCCAGCTCCCCTGTCCTGGAGGTACCACTAAGCCCGTAGCTTCCAAGTAAACCTTTGGTTGCGGGAGAAGATGAAGAATCCCGTGACTCTGACTTCTCTCCTATACGACCCCTGATTATAAGCTCTTCTCTCCTAGAAGTAGGGTTCCCAGAAAAATTGCTAGATGCTGAGTTAAATCTGAATTTCAGAGAAACAACAAATAACGTTTTAGTATAACATTAGGACACACTTGGGGCACCTCAGCTGGTTGAGCATCCAACTCTTGATTTCAACTCAAGTCATGATCTCGAGGTTGTGGGATCGAGCCCTGTGTGGGGCTCTATGCTGGATGTGGAGCCTGCTTGAGGTTCTCTTCCTCTCCCTTTGTTCCTCTCTACCACTCACTCTCACTGTATCTCTTAAAAAATACTGGGGACACACTTATACTCAAACATTATTGTTTCTTTGGAATTCAAATTTAACTGAGAGTCTATGTGTTTATTTGCTAAATGTGGTAAACCGCACCCCCCGCCCCATCAGTATTCCACTTTTAAAGACAAGCCCATTCTCTCTGGCCCTCTTTGATGTTTGCAGGTGTTAGGCGGGAGGGCGGAGGGGAGGGAGGTTGAAAAAGGAGATTTCTCCTAATGCCCCAGCCTCAAAGGAGGCAGACAGACCATGTGTGCACAGCGCTGGGGACAGGGAGGAATCCTGTGAATTTGTCCTGAGGTTGGAGGTGGCTCTGGAAGGTGTAGAATTTCTCATCCTGTTTTTCACTGTAACTTGCGTTGACTCCATTGTTATAGCGCAGTTAGTCCTTTATAGTGAAGGAGAGGAACTTGGGATGGATGTGAGTGTGTGTATTAGGAGTGTGTGGAGGGGGGATGGTGCAGTTGGGTGAGCAGAACTGACTGAATTTGCAAAGGTATAGAAGGAATGGCAGACCATCTGTGCTTTCTGAAGGATGCTGGGTAATGGGTTAGGAGGAGAAAATGATCACATTACATTGGCCACCACTCCCTTCTCCACACACCATGTCAGCCCTTGACTCCCAGGCACTGAGCAGCCATGCATGGTCTTAGTCGATGGCTTACGCCCTACTATGCATCCTTAGCCCAGGGGAACACAATACACTCCCATCAAGAGGCCATGTGGTCAGTCGCCCTGCACTTCATGACCCCACACTGTTTCTTCACTGTCTTGAGTGTAGATGCTCCTAAGCCATATTCCCATGATTTTATATCCAAATATTTCTATGCCTACCCCAAGTCATGCGGACGTCCTAAAGGGTCTTTTCTTATACTCTCCACTCTCCTACACAGAAGCTTTCACATCCACTCATGGCAAGTGGAGATGACAGACAGGGACCAGCAAGTCTTTTTGCCTTTCAGAATGAGATTTCCACAATGTTCTCTGTGAGGGCTCCCCCAAGGGACTAGCCTCAAATAGACATAGATGATACACAAAGACCCTGCCTCAGTGCATCGGAGGGACCACTGCCTTGGTTCAACTAAGGTTCTTTAAGTGAACACTTAGATCACTGACTTTCAACCTTTTTCTTTTGAATTCCATGCATTTTATGGCTATCAATTTCCCTCTAAGCACAGCATTAGCTATACCCCACAAGTTTTGATATTTCACACATTTATTATCATTCCATTCCAAATATTTTCTAACGTCCACTGTGACTTATCTGACCTAAGAGTTATTTTAAAACATGCTACTTAGGGGATACTCTAGTTTTGAATTTTTACAGATTTCCAGCTATTTTTTTTTTTGTGGTCAGAAAATGTTTTCTAGAAGATTTCAACCCTCTGAAATTTGTTGAAGTTGGCTTTATGCCTAGGATGTGGTTTTTCTAAGCATTGCACCTGTACTTGAGAAGAATTTGTAACAGGAAGTTGTTGGATACAGTATTCTATAAATGTCCATGTGTCAAATTTATTATTCAAATATTTTATATCTTGATTTTTTTGTTTTCTTGTTCTATTAATGTGATAGAAATTTATTTTAATACCTCTCACCAATTGTGGATTTTTCTTTATCGATTTTTACCCTCCTTTTTTAAACAAGAAAAAGCCATTTTACTATTTTGAGGCCACATTAATGGGAGCATACAAATTTTTAATTGTATTTCTTCTTGGTAACATTTTCCCTCATCTTTAGGAATTTAGAGATGTATTTCCACCATTCATTTCTGTCTTGAAACTCCCCCCACCCCTCATGTTAGTGAGCTATGTCAGTTTTTAGTTAGTGGTTGCACAATATAACTTCTTCATTTCTTTAATTTTCTACAATGTGTCCCCATGCACATGGTCACCACTTGTCCAAGGCCAGTGACTGCAGAGATTGAGGACTGCATCTGGGGAGCTGTCCATCATAGTCCAAGGATTCAGAAGCAGGCTCAAGAGCAGATACTGACAACCCCGTCACCACTCCAGAGGGAAGATAAGTCCTTGGATCCAGGATGGTGACTGTGTGATAGGTGAATGTGCTGCACTCCACACCATCCTGGGATCAGTCAGTCCTGGAGAGATGCTGAGACATGAGCAGGTCTGACCACTGGGTTTAGATAGAACAGAGCTCTGCCTCTGTGGGCATCACAGAAGACACACAGACCCCAGAGAAACACCACTTTACTCCTAAGAGCTCAAGGTCATCCAGGAACCCAGAAGCAGTGATCCCCCCTCCTGTGTCTCAACATGAAAGCTTAGGTTATTGACTTGAAATCCTTCTTGTTTTCTAATATAGGCTTTTACAGCTATATATTTGCCCTCAAGTGCTATTTTAGCTGCATTCCATAAAATAGCTGACGCATTGTATTTCCATTTTCATTCACTCCAAATATTTTCTAATTTCATCCATAAGTTCTTCTTTGGCTCTTTGGTGTTTTTAAAATTTTCCAAGTATTTGGGTACTTTCCAATTTTTTCTTTCTGTTGTTGATCTAATTTAATTTTACTGTGGCCAAAAATCCCGTACTTTGCACTATTTCAATCTTTTTAAATGTATCAAGATATTTTTAAGGCCTTGTATGTTGGGCAATGGTGCATATTCCACTGTTGCTGAGTGGGGTGTTGTGCAGATGACAAGTCGAGGTGGTGGATAATGTTGTATAAGTCTCCTAGTGGCTATGGTTCACCTCTCTGAAGTCTGATCCACTCCCTGCTGCTGGCTGAGGCTTTCTAAATATCCCCTTAGCTATTTGATGCTTTCAAGAGTTTTGTTTTTCTTCCTCAATCTGTTCAGTTATATTTAGTAGGATGTTTGGCCTGAATTATCCAATCTGACAATTCTGGGATGCCATTTATCAATGTTTAATTCAGAGGTATCTATTTCTATCTGTAGGAATTGGACAAGGTATCATTTCTAATAACATGACACACTTTTAACAAAGGTTTGAGCTCAGCTGCAGAAAAGAATAGAATCAAAGCCTTTAAATTCTTGGCAAAGTCCCCTAATATAACAGTTCCTTCCCTGTTTCTAAAACAATTTAAACCACAATGTTTATAATGTAAAGGGCTATAATTCTATGTACATCGTTAGTTTTGATTTTCAGGGAAAAAATTACTGGATAGAGAAGGATAATGATATAAAGCTGTAACAGTTCACTTAATCAGGTTAGTATATTAGAAGTTGTCATAACCTGAAGTAGAAATTAGCAAAGCCTCCACCCTAGAGAGTTGTTTACATATATATCTGAATACAGTTGATTAGCTTTGCTTTGCTGAAAACACAAAAAGTGAAGCCACATAACTGCGGTAAGATATTTGCAAATCACTTATTTGATAAGATATTTATGGACTATATAAAAACTCTTGAGTATTGGGGCACCTGGATGGTGCAGTCAGTTGGGGTCCTGACTCTTGGTTTCAGCTCAAGTCATGATCTGGGTGTCTTGAGATTGACCCCCACATTGGGCTCTGCACTCAGCATAGAGTCTGCTTGGGATTCTCTCTCCTTCTCCCTATACTGCTCCTGCTTGTGCTCACTCTCGCTTTAAAAATAAATAAGTCTATTTTTAAAAAAACAACAACAACTCATGAATCTCAGCTTTAAACAAAGAAACCCTCAAAATGGCAAATATTTGAACAGACACTTCACTGAGAAAAGATGAAGGGATGATGGCAAATAAGCATAAGAAAGATGATCAAAATTATTAGTTACTGGAGAAATGCTCCTTAAAACCACCACGAGACATTACTAACCTGTTCATATGATTAAAATGAAAACAAATAAGCAAAACCAACAAATCACCCCTGATGATACCCAGTGCTGGTAAGGGCGTAATGGAATGGAAGCCCACATTCCCTGTCCCTGACAATCAAAATGGAACCACCGGTTTGACAAACAGTTTGACAGCCTCCTCTAAAGTTAAGCATTCATGTTCCACATGACCTAGCAATTCTGTTCTTAGGGATTTAGGCAATAAAATTTTTAAAAAAATACACACACATACACATCAATGGAACAAAAGATCTAAGACCAACAAGATCTAAGACAAAGATATAATATATGCATAATGGGAATACCAGAAGAGGAAAGAAAAAAATGGAAAAAAAAATATTTGAAGCACTAACGGCTTCTCAATTTTCTCTTCATTATTCTTAATTTTTCAAAATCAAATGACAGACACCAAATCACAGATCAAGAAAGTTCAGAGAACAACAATAGGAACAATACCCCAAAATCTAACACCTAGGTATATCTTCTTTGAACTGAAAACAAAACAAAACAGAAGAGAGTAAAATCTTGACACCAGCTACAGTGGGAGAGAAATCCCTTGCTTATAGAGGAAAAATAAAATTTACATCTGACTTCTCACAACAAAC